CCTTTGATAAATTTTACCAAATCCATAAAACATCTCATCGTAAATTATCTGATAAAGTTGTAAAATCAGCCAGTATAAGTTACAAATACCCGAGATGTTCATCAATTAGCATATCGATTTAAATAAAAATCACCAATAAAACACATGGATCGTATAGTTCCCACAAGAATTGCCAAACAACGCCCGCCTCCGCAGAATAACCTATGGGTCTATTGAATATACATCTTATTAAAATAACAATAAGGAGCCTCTTAACGTCTAATATATTAGATGTTATTATTAACGCTCTGAACATCACTTTCCCACCACTGCTTAACGCCAGTCACGGCATCTCTTCTTCAAGATGAACTCTCAGTGCTCAGAATTAATTTAAAATGGGATTCATGTGGCGCGCGATTTTATTCGGTTTTGTATTGTTACTTTATCTGATTTCCGGTAAGTTATAGCTATTATAATAAAAAAAATATATTCCGACGTATAATTATTTCTCAAGGGACTGATTTTATTTTTCTATGTACGGTATTTCTTGGGTTCTTCGATGTAAACATAAAAAAATATTTAGATGGTTGCTATTTCGATTGAATAGTCTTAATAAATAAATCTAGCGTGAGGAACACAGTAGTTGCCGCATTAATTATTTCATTAGCGAACAAGTACATGCATATTTGCTAAATTTAGAATGGCAATGGCCATTGCTATAAATAATAATGGTGTGCTCATTAAAGGCACTATATGTATATTTCGCTTAATCAGCCTCGATTAAAACTGAAAGTCCAATAAGCGTAGAAAAATTTTCAGAAGGAGCATGTTCACAAGTCGTTGAGTATTCGGATGAAACCGCACTAAAAGCCGCTGAGGCGCACAAGGCTTCAACTACAACCGTTTCTATTTCCACCGTAAAACCATCATCAACTACAAGAACCAGAAAGTTGCGTAAACGCACCAGGCGAAGAAAACGCATCCGTCTTAGTTCATCATCAGTTGCACCCACTTATAGTCAATCCACCGCTTCTCCAGTTGCGCCGCATGAAGAAAAAATAAAACGCCGGCAAAGAAGGTTGAAGAAACGCAGAAGAGGCTCAAGTAAAGTACGAAATAGCGCCAACGATTCGCGATCTGCTATTCAAACGCGCAACTTGTTTCAACCGATAACTCCAAAAGAAAGCTCACCCAAAATAAGTGGAACTCCATCAGCATTCGCCCCACGGAAAGAAACTACTACCAGATGCAGCAAAAATAATGGAGGCTGCGCCCACACTTGCCGGCCGACTGGATCCCGCAAATGTGGATGCTTGAAAGGATTTTCATTGAGTGGAGATGGTCATAACTGTCTGGGTAATTTTCGGATATTTGATCATAACTGCATATTTTATAATGATAAAGGGGCGTTTTCTGCATATGAACATGAGGTTGCCAGTATGCACAGGGGCGGATCCAGCTTTAAAGTCAGGAGGGGGTTATGTAGAAAAAATACAGTCTTCTGTTGTTTATGAAATTAGAAAAATTATCGTCGTTTTGTGTAAGGGTGGCGCAAGATTATTGCAAAATTTCATCTCTTCCGTCCCGTTTTGCATGTTTCTCGGAAGCAAAATGAGCAAGAACGCTCATTTTCTCATCATTCCAGAGATAACTAATCGCCTTTATTCGAAGTTTCTCAAGAACCATTCGTGCCACAAAATTCGTTTTGGCATTGTTGAATAGAGAATTGAACAGTCCATTCAGTCATAACCACGTTAATGAGGAAATTCGAGTAGTTTTGAACCAGAAAGCGAAATTTGAATGTCAGACACTTAGGTGCAAGATTATGCCAAAATTCCATGTTTTCCGTCCCGTTTTTGCTCATTTCTCGGAGGCAAAATGAGCAAGAACGCTCATTT